GGAGCAGCCGGCACGGACACGCGTGTGCCCGGCGGGGGGAAGCAGCCGGAGGATGAACGCCGGCCTTGCAGGGCTGAAACCCGCCACCCCCGAGCTCGGGCGAGGTCCCGGTCCCCACAGGGCTGGGCCGTGTGTTTGTCAAAGCCAAAACCCCCAGAGACTCACCAGAAACATAAGGCAATTTGGTCTGAGTCCTGGGATCTTCCACGGTGGTGACGAAAACGAGAGAGTCACGCAGACAATGGCTCCAAACCCACACGTCTTTGAAGCGGGCCACCGAGGAGACAGCACAGCTCGTTTTCCCCCAGAAAGGCATTTGGGTGAAGCTGCAGCTGGTGGCCAGGAATGAGCAGTTAAAAGGTACCAGGCACAGAGCTGCCGACCTCCCCCAAAAGAGCAGCGAGGAGAGCTCAGAAAGGCTGCCAGAATTTTTCCACGATGCACACAACAGTAGTTCCGTGTAAACCGAGGGTAGAGAAGAGGAATTAGGGAATTGCTGAACCCCTCTGCACAAGGAATTGCTTAAGGAAAGGTGTCAAAGCTGCCCGGCACTCCACCTGAGAAGCCAGAACAAGAAAACGAGCTGCAGTAGGTGAAGGACCAAAAGGAGACATCCCCTTCTCCCATCCCAGCAGCAGAGTGCCAGAGCACGTGGGACAGACAGCTCCTGTATTTCTCTCTGTAATGCCACATTGACAACAACAAACTGGGAATTGCATCTTCTAGCCATGCAGTTCTGTTATTTTTCTAAAACCCCTTCTGAAATCCAGCACAGGCAGAGAAATCCTGGGGGAAGAAAGGTCCCTGACATCTTTCCAGATGCTTAGTGCTCTCCACTCCTCGCTGAGCATTAACAGGTTGGTGTAGCCGCGGCCACCAGCTGCCACAGGAGCAAGTGTTGGGAGTTCCTTGGCAAAGCCACATAGCCAGCTCGCCAAGGAAGCTGACCTTGGGTGGAGAAGGCTTGGGGCCTGTGCACGCAGCAGATGGGAATTTGTCCCATCCCCACCCTACATGGGACACAGGCATCTGGGGATGGTCGGTACCGTGGGCGACATCCCCGTGCTGCCCTGCACTGCCTCCTGCAGGGTGCTGAGCACCCAGTGGGCTCCAAGGCACAGCATGCCTAGAGCATCTGGAAGCAAAAGTGCATTTGAGCTGGCCCTGACAGTGCATTTAGGGCACACCGACTGTGTTCTCTTCCCTCATCCTTCCCAGGAAAGCGAGCAGCATTGGCACTTGGACCAAAACCCTTCCCAGCCCGCAGCCGCGGGCAGCTGCAAGAGCCCCTTGCTGCAGGGATGCGAAGCAGAAGTGACCGGGGCGGTTGCTGCATTACGCGTTGCTTCCCGTGGCACAGCTGGCTCATCCGGCTCAGGAAGTCACGCAGCGGGAGCAAGGGCAGTGCCCGGGAGCCTGCCTCCAGGTGCCCGCCAGCCCCGACCGCGTGGATCTAAACGCTGCGGAAGCACCAACGGCAGCTGCAAGGTACCTGCAGGCACGGAGGTCTCATCCGGCTGGAGGCAGGGGAGGATCGGGCGCCTGAGAGAGCTGAGCCTTTGGCACCTAAACCCTGGATTTGGCAGCAGCTAGAGGAAGCAGCTGTGGGGCCAAGAAACATTTTGGTGTGAGCTGGCTGGTGAGTCACAGTCTTTCCTGCTTCAGGCTGCGCCCCCAGTAAGGGGAACTTCGCACAAGTGCGGGAGGAAACGGGAGGGGAGCAGCCCCGCGAGAGCACAGAGAGGTAGGGATTGCTCCGTCCTCGGAGGTTTCTGAGGCGCAGCCAGAAAAAGATCTGGCTGACTGGGGCTGGTGCCAGCAACAGACCTGCTCGAAGCAGGAGGTTGGACTGGAGAGCCCCGAAGACTCCCCGCCACCATCCCACCTGTGCACTCGGACAGTGCTGAGTCCGCACGTTCTTAGGAGCCCTCAATCTTTGCTTGCTGCTGTTGTGCAGTCAGCTGATGAGGCTCTCCCGTCAGCTGGACAGCAAAGCAGTACTCGGTGCTGACAGGGACACGGACAGACACTCAGAAATTATTTTCTGCTGTCCCCCTGGAGGCTGGTAATGAGTCAAATTAGGTGAGAAAAAGGAAAATATGAAGCTGTCTGTTGCAATTTCCTGCCCCAGATTAGAGCTTGCCACGCAGAGAAACAGAGCTATGGCTATCCCATCCTGTGCTCAGAGTGATATATCTGGCTTCACTGCCCGTAACTCGACATTCCTACTTTCTCCGGATCCGTGGGATTTCCTGGTCGCTTAGGAACGGGAGTCTGCAGCAAGGCAGCCTGGGCAGGAGAGCACAGAGCCGGGTGCCTGCTGCCCCAGGAGGAGCCACCCTGCCTTGCTTTTGGGGTGGGGTGAGACCAGCCGAGGAGCGCCTGGCACGGATGTAGCTCTTGGGTGTTGCGCTGGTGGTTTGAGTTTTGCCCTGAGTCACGGCTGAGTAGCCAGGTGGGTGCTGATGGGGCGCGCTGGACCCTCGCGAAGGGCAGTGGGGCAGGAGAGATGAGGGCACTGCTGTGTCCCTGGGAAGTGGCTCCCCGGGGCTGAACCTGCCCATGCCAATTGTCTGGTTCTGAATGGTCCCCTCAGCTGTCACAAAAGTGCTGCTTTTCACTGCTGCTGTCCTTGTTTCCAGGTTGTTCACCATGAACGTGGCTGTTCTCCTCCTCCTGGGTCTGGGGCTGTTGGAAGCTGAGGGCAGGTGTTTATTCAATAGCACTCAGGATCACTGTGTATGCTACAACCTGTCCCAGGAAAGCCTAAGCAGCATCATCCAGTGCCTCCCAGCCTCTGTCGTGGAGTTTTCTGGGGGAGAGCTGGAGAGATACATAGCCTTCCCCATCAGTGACCTGGACCCCTCCGCCATTGAAATGCTCGACTCCCTTGTCGTCAGGAAACTAATTTTTGATGATCTCCTGGTGCCTGAGATACTCCTCGCCCGAGTCCTGAGGTTCTTCTCCTACACCCACGTGCAGGAGCTGGTGTTTGAGAGCTGTATTTTCAAGGGGAGAGGCAACTGGGATGAAATGGCTGGCAAGGACTTGCCCATATTGTCCCTGCGCTTCCACAACGTGACGTCTGCCCCGCTGACGGGCCGCGAGCAGGACTTCTCCAGCCTGAGCAGATGGCTGGAGACGCTGCAGGACCTGGCTGTCACTGGCTCCCGTGTCACCAGCCTGCCCTGTGGCATCGGAAGGGTGTTGAGAGCTCTGCGCTCCCTGGACCTGGCACAGAACAGCCTTGAGGATGAGGGCTTGAGGGCCACCTTCTGCACAGGGGCTTTTCCTCAGCTCCAGGTGCTGAGTCTGCGGCGCAACAACCTGACATCCTACCACGGCGTGTGCAAAAGCGTGCAGCTGCTGCGGGAGCTCCAGCATCTAGATCTCAGCCAGAACAAGCTCATGGCAGACTCATCCTCCTCCTGGCAGTGGCCAGCAACCCTCCGGATTTTTAACTTGTCCGACACTGGCTTGGATAAAGTCCTCACCCCTCTGCCTCCCAGTCTAGAAGTGTTGGACATGAGCTGCAACCACCTCCATGCCATAGACATCTCCCTCAGCTCCCTGAAGAAGCTCTTCCTGAGCCAAAACCTGCTGCAGGCTGCCCCCTCCATCAGGAATTACCCCATGTTGGACACCCTCCACCTAGACAACAACTCCATTGCAGAGCTGCCATGGGATGAGGTGAAGCTCCTGGGACATCTGCGGGATGTGGCTGCGGCTGGCAACCCCTACAACTGCTCCTGCTCTGGGGCCGGCAGCCTCCAGGCGCTGGCGGGTACGGGGCACCTTGGGCAGGGCTGGCCCCAGGACTACACGTGTCAGTCCCCCCCGCGCTACCGGGGCCGGCTGGTGAAGGACGTGCCGGTCTCGGTGCTGCAGTGTAACAGTGCTGCCGTGATCGCCCCTGTCTGCATTGCCCTGGCCCTGCTCGGCGTGGCCGCGGCCGTCTGCCTGGTCAGATCCAGGCCTGGGCTCGGCCGGCCCTGTCGCAGGGAGTGGTGTGTGAGTGCTTCCCTGCAGGGGCTCGGCCCCAGGGGCTGCAAGGCCAGCAGCTCCGTGGGAAGACTCACAGGACCCCCAAATGCTGGTGAGGGGCTCTCTCGGTGTCCCCAGTTCAGGCTCCCCTGTGGATCAGGTCTGTCCTCAGCATTATCCCACAGTGGCTGTGGCTTTGCCAATCCAAGTTTTCAGGAAATCCCCCAGGCAAAGCCCCTTGCCATGCTCTGTCCCCAGGTTGCACCCTCCCGGGGGGTTTTCCTTACAACCCACTCTAACTCCCCCAGCCCCAACATGCACCCATTGCCCCCGTGATATCATCTGCCCTGAACATGAGGAGTTCAGCTCCACCATCATTCCCCAGATGCCCCAAGCCTTGCTGGGGTCTGATGGTCCCCACCTAGAGCCCCCCCCTCCCTTGTAGCCCTGTGCCTCCCAGCCCAGCCATCCTTGCAGCCTCTGTGGCCCCCCTGCTGATCCTCCACCTCTCCCCAGCTGGGGCTGTGGCTGTGGGGATGTCTGGTTTGTGAGGACGTCTGCGGAGCTGCTATTCAGCGTAAGAGAAAAACCCCAAAACACAGGAAAACGAGTGAATTGAACACCCCTATGCACAAACGCTAATGGGCGGGAGGTAACGGAGACAGCAACCAAGTCCCGAGCACTCAAGGCACTGGTGGATGAACCCCTCGAGTGTGACCTTGAAGAGGTTCAACCAGAATCTTTTTCACCGATTGTCAGAAAACGTTTTGATTCTGGATGATTCTGAAAACATCTCACAGGAAAAAGAAAACGGATCATGGGATGATGAGGGAGATCAGGGAATGCAAAAATTACTGGGGAATGCTTATGGAAAGGATCAAAGGGAGGATCGTGGTAGGGGTGGGGGGGAAGGAACAATCAGGAATGGGGAAGAAGGGGGCTGGTCGTAGGTAGGATGGGCGCTTGCCTGGCCAAGCCCTGTGCTTCATCCCCATGATCTGTCTTGCCTTCCCATTAAAATCTATCCCTGGCTGTTCTCTGTGTCACCTCACTCTGTTTGGTTTGTGCACGTGTGGAGGTGACCCGCGAGCAAACACGGGCTGGACTGGGAAACCAGGGTGAGGAAAGACCCGAGGCTGGTGCTGGCGAATGGCTCAACAGGGGCCAGGATCTGTGATGGGCTTGGGGTCTGCTCCATGTCTGAGGGCACACGGGTGTGCACCTGCCTGTGGGTCGAGTGGGGGGATTGTGCCCCCAGCCCACATCAGCCCTGAGCAGCCGGAGGGGAGGGATGGGGCCGTGTCGCCCGTGTGCTGGTGGGAGGGCTGTCGGTTAGGTGGGTGCTAGCAAGCGCACTGCTCTGCTCGTGCTGTCCCATTACACCCCGCGTCTGCATCTGCATCTTGGGCACAAGCTGGACCTGGGAACAGGGAGCAGCCGCCGCTGTCTAATGGGTGAGGAAGGAGAATTCCCTGTGTCTCAGCATCCTAGGATCTGCTTTCCCTTAGCAGCAGCCAGGTCAGGCACAACGCCACCCCTTGCTCTGCTCCGGGTGGAGCCTCGGGTGCTGTTGGCTCCATTTGCAGTGACGGCTTATGTCCAGCCTGGCATCAGCCTCACGCCTGAGGACATCTGGGCAGGCAGGGGCTCGGGGGGCAGGGGCAGCGTCCTCATCTCATTCTGTAGGGGGGATGGCGGCAGACGGAGGGACACTTGTGCATCTCCTCATGTGCCTGGTCCGTCCAATGGCAAGGGGCAGGGGCTCTCTCCTGTCTCCCACAGTCTGCCCTTCCGCATTGATCCTCAGCTCCAGCATTTCCTTTTGTGTGTTCTTGGTATGACTGGTCTCCCATAAATGTGATCCTGTGGTTTGTGGGTGCTTTTGGTGACTAGAAAACCCTTCACGTCAGTCCAAGGTCCCACATCTGTCCCCGGCTTGCAAAGATGTCCCTCTTGGAGCCAGGAGCATGCCAATGGTGTGAGTGGCTCCCAGCACTCCCCTGGCCCTCCCTGACTCCTTGGCTGGCTGACTCAGCCTCCAGAACATGGTGTCTCCAGGCTGGACTCATCCCTGCCCAGCTCTGCCCACTCGACTGTGCCCAACACCGTCAATAATGCAAGGGAACGCGATCCCTCGTGTAACCCTATCCCCTGCCCTGTCCGAAAGAGCAGCCCAAGGGCTGCCGGTGCTGAGCTGCCATGGATGCTGGGGAGGTGAGTGCCAGCGTGGGGGACATAACAGGGTGGTTTGGAGGGATCTGTCCTCTGCCTTTGGTGTGGCATGGCCAGGTGCTGCCCAGTTCCCCAGGGGCTCACCCAGCTCCTGGCAGGTGCCGTGTGTGGGGCAGGACCCGGCTCATTCCCACCCTGCCCCGTGTCCCACCAGGCCGAGCAGGATGTGTGTGTCCGAGCAGCTGTGGTACTCCAGCAGGCAGCAGGTAGAGCTGGGGCTGGGGACACACACCTTTGGCCCAAATACAGCGGGGGCTACAGAGCAGCCGCAGCCGTGGTGGCACCGGGACTGCTATCCATGCTGGTGGGGCTGGCCTGAGCCATGGTGATGGGGAGGGGGCATCCTCCCCATGCTGGGGGCTCTGAGCGCCGTGGGCATCGTGGGAGGGCTGAGGGATGATGTGAAGTCCTGGGACCTGGTGCCAGGTTGTGGGGGAGGACAGAGCTGGGGGTGGGTGAGGATGATCCCCCCTGCACCACCCCATGCTCAGTGTTTTCAGGGCTGGGGGAAAGCTGGGCGGCCAGCAGTGAAGACCCCCTGCAGCTTCTCTTCACTGGGAAGGAGCTCCAGGTGAGAGTGGCAGGGACATGGGCATGAGGGGATGAGGGTCCCTGGGGAGCTAGACAGGAGCAGGGGGCCCTGTCCCAGCTACCTGCCATGCTCGGGGCCCAGAGGGGTGCTGGGGTCTTGGGCTGATCCTGCCCTACATATCTATGGGCCGCTCTCTTGTGGGGGCTCCTGGGGGTTACCAGAGAGCAGGGGAAGGGCTGGGGTCTGTGCCAGGCCCTTCAAGCCACCCCCACCATCTCCATCCCAGGGTGCCCAGTCCCCCCTTTACCCTGCACTAGTCAAACTGGGATGGGGGAAAGCTGAACACTATCACCTTCCCCCACCTTGTGCCAGGGCAGCCGCTTGACTGTTGATGGTGTCTTCTGCTTGGATGGAGGGCAGGTATGGTGAGTCCCATGTCCCTCTGCACCCCTGTCCCCGGGCAGATGGGCCAGGCCCATGCTGGCCAAGGCTGTGGTCTGGGGCACTCAGCCATGGTCCCAGCGGCACTGGGCACCACCAGCAGCTCCTCAGGTGCTGCAGGCAGTGCTGGGGACCCGGAGCTTGGTCCTGCGTGTGGCTCTGCTGGTGGTTCTCAGCCCTTCCCTGGTTTCCTCTTGGGTGCTGGGACATGGCTGCTGTGCTGGGACGAGCTGTCTGTGCCTCACTGCCCGTGTCGTGGTCTCTGGTGTGTTGTGCACACCGTGCCATGCCGTGCCGTGCCGTGCATGCTGTGCGTCTACCCTGTGCCATCCATACCGGGTACCCGTGCCGTACTGTCTGTGTTGTGCTGTCCAACCCATGCCAATGCCCCCTCTGCTCGACCATCTGCATCATGTTGTCTGTGCTGTGCCATGCTGGCTACATCTTTTCCCCCAGGAGAAGGTCCTGGAGTTGGCAAGACCCCAGCTGGCCTTGCTTCCCCTTGGCTACAGCGTGTCCCTGCTGCTGTGGGACCCCCATGGCTCTGGCACCCAGCTGCCGTTCCAGAGCATTGTCTGGCAGGTGAGGGCACAGGGCATGGCACGGGAGAGGTGCCAGGCTCTTGGATCATCCAACTGACCCCAGTCCTGCTGGTACGGGTTCAGGCCCAGCCATGGGTGCCACGAACCAGTGGCTCCTAGCTTGACCAGCTTGTCCCCAGGTGATTGACACCGTCTTCCAAGAGCTGGAGGCCGTGGGGGGTGATGAACAGAGCCTGCAAACTGTCAGCCTGGTGCAGGTAGGGCAGGAGCAGGGCTGGTCCTGGATGCCCTGGGGAGGGGGTCCTGTTCCCCCTCTACCACTGGCCAGACCCTGCTGCGCCAAGGGGCCTGTATCGCCCCACCGCTGGCAGCCGGTCCCCTGTGCTGGAGGGCGACCAGAGGCTGGAGACTTTTGGATCCCAGGTTGCCTCACCTCTTAGACAACTTCCCAGGTGTGGGAAGCCTGAGCTGCCCACGGGGCTTCTCCTAGACTCCAGCAGCGAAATGGGAATGTGGGAGTGCTCTAAAACCTTCCTGCCCACCGTGGGGCTGGACTTTTCCTGCCAGCCACTGCTACCTGTGGCCTGAAGGTCCCTCCAGTGCGTGCCTGGTTGGCACAGGGACAATGCCAGCTCCTGACATGAGACTGGGCACTGCCCTTTGGCTCTGGGATGCTGCCAGGAACCTGCCAAGCTCTGCATAGGGCCCTGCATTCCCAGGGCACTGCCTTTCCCTGGCCTTGGGGTTGGAAAAGCTGGAAGTGACCCCAAGATATCTCCCTTCCCAACCCTTACCTGTCCATGGCACAAGCAACCAGAGGGCCTGGTTAGTGCAGGATGCCAGCAGCCCTCTCTTTCTGTCCCCTGCCCTACCTAATGCAGCCCCATTGCAGGTCTGCGCCCCCAACAAAGCCAGGGACCTGCTCCGACCTGACAGCCGAGCTCTGCAAGTGATGGATGTTGCACCCTTGGGCCTGTAGGTACCAATCGCCACATGGTTGGGGAGCTACTCCTGGGGGGCTGGTACCCCAACACCAAGCATGGGGCTGAGCAGGGGGCATGGTGGACAGCCAGAGGACAGCCAGGGGTTTCCCGCAGGGGGCCCAGGCATGCAGGAGGCAGGTGGATGTGGCCTTCCTTGCTCAGTTTTGTCTCTGCTTCCAGGATGGTGGAGGAGGCAATGGAAATTGCTGTGCTCGATGCGCAGGCTGCCATCAGTGTTTATGCCCGGGGACTGGGTGCTATCCTGGCACTGCAGCCCCCTGCAGATGGGTGCTTGGCCATGCAGGGGTGAGGGATTCAGCCGACATCCCGCAGGCTCAGGAAAGATTGGGCCAGGGCTGGCTCCAGGCTCCGCTGCAGCCTGCTCATACGCCGGCCTCTCCCCAGCACCAGCAGCCTCTTCACTCTCACAGTGGAACGGGAGCTGGGAAGCGGCGGGCGTCAGCGCTCAGCTCTCAGGATCCTGGCATCCGCCGGGGCCATTGGGCCCTGCCCTGAGCTGTACGTACCAGAGCTGCGGCTCTGCACTGGGGCTGAGCTGGGACCCCTCTCCAGCACCTCCGTGGTGCCTGCTCTGGGGTTGGGGGGGATTCGGTACCCAGAGGTGAAGCAGGAGGGACTCAGACACCCCAATGGGAGCCTGTGGCTGGGAGCCAAGGGGTTGCTCCCACCCCTCAGGGATGTGGGCTCGCTCCCAGTGTGGCTAACCCATCCTCAGGCTCTCATGGGTCGGGGCTCTGCCTGCC